ATTGATACAAGGAGTTAATGGAGTAATTTTCAGGATCTGAACATCTTGTTAGAGTAAAGCCAACCTATACAAGAGTCAGATAGTCTTTCTTTGTAGAAGCAGAGCCTATACTATTTGTGCAGTGTGTCATAGACTGCTAGGAAAGCAAGACAATCTTTGCAGTCACTAGACTTCTATTTGTTGACCTTTTTAATGTTGAATAATAGAATTATTGGCTACAGCCCTCGATCCTTTTTTTAAACTTCATTATATGTAATCAGTTAAGAGGACTTGTGAGAGGGAAAGATTCTGTAAGATTTTGGAGACTTCTGTAAAATACTTACTGGAGTTTTGAAACTAACTTAAAGACGTTCCGAGTGGAGAATTCAAACAAGATAGAAAATATGTGATGAAGATGGAGTGTCTCCTACAGAGTTGTTAATGAATGCAGATGATTCAGGATTTTGTCTTTCGTTCCAGTTAGTTATGTGAGAAAGAAGTGAATAATCTGTTCACTACAAAAATGGTTTGTTAATCCCTGATTTTTCAAAAGCCTCCAGAAAAGCTTTATAGTGTAGAATACTTTGCTTCTCTTGAATGATTTGCTTTGAGCTATAGCTGAGTGAGGTCTGAATTTGAGGGGGTTTGCCTCATTTTGCTTGGAATGCTGCCAATTATTATGAGAAAGTTTGATGGTGAATCCTGTGCTTTGTAGTACATTATTGTAACTGAGACTCTCACATAATACTTGGAGATCTTTGATATCTAAGGGAAGTACAAAGCCAAAATCAAAATAAAGCAGACCAAATGTTTTTGCTTGAAGGCTACAAGGTCTGCCAATGTCTTATACTGTCTGTATGTATTTTGCTTCGTCCAAAAAGAAATCAGAAAACCTATGAAAATCCATAGCTAGATTGTTGTCTGGGAGGTGGTGAACCATTCCCTTTCTGACGTACCAGGTTGCTGTTCCTGTTGTGTCCAGCAGAACTCTGTACTCCTAGCTGCTCACCCCGCTAGCAGGCGCTCTGACTAGATTCTCTGGAATAATTAGCAGCTTTGCACAGTAGATGTTCAAGCACAGTGACTACAGACCCAAAGATTTTCCTGACCAACAGAAGGAAAAAAGAGATTTTATGATAGACTGGTGAATTAAAGTTTTCACTTGTTTTCCATGTTTGAGCTTAAATAGAGGTTGGATAGATTATAGAGTTTTGGCTGACAGTTTTTCTAAATTACCATCTTGCTAGATTCAGTATCACGTCTTTCATGGATGTTTTTCCCAGGTAATTTTTCCAGTGGTAATGGTGCAGAGACAGTATATGTGAGTAAAACTTGAAGCAATGTGTAAGTTTCAGATACTGCTACATCTTGCCTTCATCTCTTCCCTTCTTTAGAGATAATTGCGTGACTTTACAGGGCATGCTAGGATCTGGCAGCAAGCTCTTTCCGTCTGTCTTGCTATGGCTTATTCTGTTGAAATACTTTCAAATACATTTATATAATTTAGTTGCAGAGAGTTACTAGCTGGAATTCAAATGTCACAGGAGGTAAGTGGTTAGTTATGAAGCCTGGGAAACGTGACTGTTAGGTGAGACAAGAATTTGGAGGCTAAAGGGAAGGAATTAGCTGATCATAGCACTGGATTGAGAATGGGAGATCAGTTCCCCCTTTCTTTCAGTTCATTCTACCACTCAGGTGCCCCGTTGTGAAATGGGGTTGTAGTTGCCTGGTTTTATTGATAAATTATTTGGAGCAGTGACCTCTAAACTGGTTGAAATGTCTAAGAGCTGCTGTAGTAATAATAGCTCAGTAGGTATTAGTTGAACTTAAATTCTAACTTCAATAAAGATTTAATTTTCCATTGATGCTGTACCCCAGGGGCTTAGCTACAAGACATGCTGTTTTCATCTTCCTGTGTCAAGGCATTTGTTCTGACTTCTGGAAGTATAATTTATCCTGACTGTAACTAGTTAAAATAGATCTGTATTTTTTTCCTTTCAGTGAAAATGCATTCCTTTTGACACCAGAGCTTACTCCTCGGAAACTCAGAGGTCTGCCTTTTGAAAAAGCGGCTGGATGCCATTATCATGGACTTGAGTAAGTTTCCTGGCTTCTTTTCCCCAAGTTATTTTTCAGCTTCCAGTCAAGGTATAAGTAGAAACATTTCAAGCAACGTGAACATTAATTATGGAAAACTTTATGTATCCTTTTCCTTCGTTGGAACAATTTTGCGCATGCCACCTCTCCCTTTCTTCCCTTTATTTATTTATTCACTGGTTTAACTTGCAACACTCCTGCCTTAATGGTAATGTAAAATCATTTAAGTTTTTTTTCTAAGTTGTATTGCTGTAGCTATTCTCGGTGTCTCTGAAAATTTTAATTCAGAATTAGAAGTGGCAAGGGGGAAGAAGGTTCATTAGTACATGCCAAGTCCCTGGAGCAGCACACGAGTGAATGACATAAGTAGTTTCTACTTTGATATTAAATTGTAGGCACTTTCAGACTAATAGTCACGAGGTTTATGAGACCTGCTGTGAAGCTGCCTGTATGTTCAGGGAATGTGACAAGACCACCAGCAGGCAAGTGTTAGTGGTAAGAATCTTGGAAAGGATCGATGTGGTTAGGGCTGTGTTTACTCCCATACAGCCAGCATTAGTTATTTGTCAAAGCTTCAGACGGGCAAACATCGTATAATGTAGTTGTATAAAAATTGTTCAGAAAAATATAAATATTGTCATTGAGGAGAAGAGGAAAAGGCCCTACACAAATGCTAGGGTAGATAATTCAATAGTGTCTTGTGTGTAGACAGACTCTTGGTATTAATGCAGTATATATTAAGGAACGTGGTGGATACCAAGAATGGGCAGTTCAGTCTTCATGCAAATTCCTCCTAAAATCTCATTTGCAGATTATCAGAATGTGACTAATGATACTGCTGATATTTTTTTCCTATAAACAGTATAGAATATTTTGGTTAAGCCTGTTTTTAATATCCGGTAATTTTAGCCACGTTCTCTAGGGATGTGAAGCAGCCATTCTATCTGTTCAGCTATCTGTTTCTTCTCTTTTTCTAAGTGGTAACTCATGAGCCTGTTAGCCTTTTTAGGTTTGTAACAACAGGCACAGAGAGGCAACTGGGTAGATGGGAGAAATGCAGGTTTGTCCTCCCTGGTGTGGAAAGAAAGCGCTTGGCCATTGTCTGTTGGTATGTGGTGGCCTGCCTGACCTCAGCAGGGAGTGTGCATGGGGATTCAAATTAGGCACAGCATGGCTTGTGCCACCTCTTCTCACAGCGAAATACGACAGGTAGAGACCACAGGGAGGCCTGGATATTGTCGAGGGGAGAGATACCCTGGTGTATTAATGTTACAAGGGGAATGTGCTAGCAGTAAGGGAGGGAAGCAGTAGAATGAGATGGTAGAAACCAGTGTGAAAGGGAGGAACCTACAGCTGTACGACCGGAATATATTGTAGCAAGAGTTTCATACGGTCTTTTGGAACAGATGTGGTTTGTACCATGCAGTTGTGATTGCAGTTTCCATCTGCATAGCTGCTGTGTTTGTATTTGGAAGTAAAGTCTTGTCAACAAAAGCAGAGTAGCAGTTATGATTAAATCAAATTTCTGGTGTAATGAACCTGTGCCAAACACTTGAGTCCTGTGTTGCAAAGAGAAAGTATTTGCCGTTAAAGCAGAGTGAGTAAAATGGCAATTTAACTTATAAAGATAAAAACATTTTTATCTTTGTAGGGGATGTGATTACTCAGGGGACTGAGAATATAAATAAGGAAAATTAAATACCTTGAAATTTGTAACTTAAGAGAACTTACTCTTATCAGATAATGAATTTATTTCTAGTGGAAAGTGTTACTCAGCTGTAGAAATGGATTGCCTGGTCTGTTATTAGAAAAGTGAATTTCTCCCTGAGTATGAAAATACTCTGAAGAAAGTGGAAAAAATTTGATCTAGCAGTTTAACATGACTCCATGTTAAGAGGTAAAAGTGAAGAATATGTCTAGAGTTCCTAAGAGTAGGAAACATTGCTAAGGGGCTGGAAGGTGAGCTGAGAGATAGCTCACATTGTTCAGAATGCTTGTTAAGAAACGGATGGAATAGTATGGATAATACTGTCCTTTTTCCCTGCAGTAGAAGTAACGTAAGTTACTGGCCGATGAAACATTGGTCTCTTGCAAGGAATTTTGGAAACCATTTACACAAGAGAAAAGTTAGTTAAGATGCATTTTGTATTGTTATTTCATGGGGATGTTTCGCTGAGTTGGCACTGTTCGTTTGTTCTCTTTCTGCTCCACCATATTTAATGCAGTTTCTTCTTTTGATTTAGTTGATTAAACCACTTACTCTTTGTACTCACTGGGAAGCTGGCAAGCTTGTGCTTGTTCAGTGACACTTTTGTATTTTTAGCATTTAAAAAAAGTGAATCTCGTACAGCAGTGCTTATCTCGGACAAAGCTAAAGGTTGCGTTTCCAAAGAGTGCAGTTAGCAAAGAATCTGTACTAAATAGCATTTAAAACACTTACCATGTCCTATCTTCCTCAGACTTACGCTCCGTTAATACTATCTCACAGCAGCCTAGTTTTTGGCGCAACTCGGCTCTTCCTAAAATTATGTCAGTATTGTTGCATATTGGGATTCCTGAAGTACTCGTAACTTGCAAATTATATACATTTTACTTCGGGATGTTTTCTGCAGGCATTTCCTATGTGATTCTCCGATGGCATATGCACTGAAGAAATCTTGGGTTGTTTTTTTGATTTGGTCTGGGTGGGGTTTTTTGACTAGGAAAGTTGCATTCTCCCAGGAAGGGAGGCATATCGTATGATCATATTATCATATTAGAGTGTAACATTTTATATATAATAACCTGATATTTTCTAGGTCTCAAAGTTTTGGTGGCTGCTTGCAAGGTCTGAGGTCTGAAGATACTGTATCCATTATGGTGTGCTGGGTTCATCATGTGTTTGGGTCCAGAGCTATCCTCATTGCTCTTTTATTGGAGCTGCACACTGCTTAGCATGTTAACAGGGGTAACATCTGTTAAGTAGGGACTGAATATGAAAAACAGTAAAATCCAAAACGGAGAGACTGATGATACAAATGTAACCCAGAGCTGACTGTAAGGTGCAAAAAATCCATTGTCAGCATCCTAATCCATCACTTACTCTTCCAGGAAAAAGTACTGCTAATGTCCATGTAAATATTATCTGCAGGACCACAGGGTAAAGACTTACAAACAGTATATGATTCAGATTCTTGGAGTTAGACTTAGGTAGCTAAATCAGGCATGTATTAACTTATTGGGCTGTTTTAAGGTATCTTTCAGAACAATACAACAGTCCAAACAAAAAAAGTTTTGAAGGTTATATGATAGTCAAAAGTGAGTTGTTCTGGTGGTTTTTTTCAGGTTGTAATAAAGCAGAGGCTTTCTCTCACAGACTTGTCACCACTTTCAATTTTAGATATTGTCTAGATAACAGAAGAGCCTTAGAGAGAGATGTGGGGTATGCTGAACTTCAAACTCGTCTTATTCGCTATGAAACTCAGACTACTTGCACCAAAGAGTGCTGCCCTGTGCCCGTTGTCTTGAGCCCTCTCCCATCTCCCGCAGTCTTGTCAGAGCCTGGAAGTGTCCCTGATGGAGAGTCTTTACAAAGTGAATTCAAAACAGAGGCATCAAGGCTAAAACGCAGATCAAAAGACTTGGATTGCTTTTATCCCAAGAAAAGGTAATGCACCGAATAAAATAAATCCTTAGCATGAAACGTTTCAGTAGGCTCTTGTGAAACGCATCTTTTCTTTCATCTCAAAATGTTTTTAGTGAAGCTATCTAGACAAATGTTCTAGTTGTTTAATTCTGCTCTGTAGGTTCATTTTTTTTTTCTCAAGTGTGACCTTTCATTGATAGCGTTAGATTAATCAAAACCATGCAGCACAGGCAGTTTTCGTTTAAGAGATTTGGGTTGTATCTTGCAAAGTCTCAAGTGCCTTTGAAAAGATGACAGATAGCCTCATCTAGGACTGAAACTGTCAGTGCTGTTGCAGTACAAATAAACAACTGGAGGTTTAGAAAGCCAAGCACTGTACAAACAGAATAATTGAATTCCTAATCCAAAGGACTGCTAGTATAAGATGACCTACCAAAATTCAAACTTATTGTCAGCCTTGTTTATTAACGTCTTTTCTGGAAGACTGGTTTTTAAGACTTCCCGTTGTACCTTGTCCTCACTCAAGATGCAAACTCTTTGCGTCAATAAAAAATAACTGATATGTAACGCTACTTCTGAATTCACTTTTTGCTGTAATACTTCACTTTTTCCTCTTTCCAGTTTGATACCCTTTGCAATCTAATCACAGAAAGCCTTTCACAGAGGTACGGTTTTAGGAATACCCCTATCTTTTGCAGCTTACTGAATAGCTAGAAAAGAAGATGTGATTGTGCTTAGCGCTTCATAAATCGGAGTTTCAGAATCACTAATGCTCAGCAGCAGCCGCCTCTATAGCAGAGGCAAAGGCACCGAAAAGAGTCAGTACAAATCTAAAAGTTCTTATAATTTTGGGGTTTGTTTCCTTTCCAGGCTAACCAAATCTGAGAGTACAGATTCTCTCCTCTCTCAGGCAAGCGGAAGTAATGGGAGTCACTGCACGGTTGCTGTAACGAGGAAGCGCTCTGAAAGATTGGTTTCTTTAGCTTCGATGCCATTGAAACAGCCTGGTCAGCCCCACAAAGTAACTGCTCAGGTTGGCTCAGCAAGTCGCATAAGTGCAACCGAATCTGAGACTTCAAAGCCAGCTAAGGAATCTAGATCCCAGAAACATACAAGGGTAAAAGTCTATGTTGTTTGCTTAGTGAAAAAGCATCTGCTTAACTTCTATCCATGTGACTTGATTTTTTAAATTTTTTAACTCAAAGTTGAGCTGTCTTCATCTCTATTTGCTACTATTAAATTTCATTCTGTTCACTTGTGTAAGTGAATCCTGAAGGCATTGAAGAGTGCTGCAGAAGCAAGGAGTGAAAAAATGTGTAAGGAGTCTTATCTCATGCCCAGGCAATTAAGGCTGAGAGAGATAACCAACTAGGAATAAAAAAGGTGGGAATGGATAGCAATGAATAGGAGTTATGAAATGTAGAAAATTGAATACAAAACCTAAAGGCACCAAAGAAATATCTGTGCTGGAAGGGTCAAAGCCATTGTGGAAAAATGGACTGTTCTGAGGATAAAAAGATATTCCAGTGTCTGTACAAGTCCATTAATTGAGATAACATTTTAAATGCTTTGGTGCAATAATGTTTAATTAATAGCTGCATATATTAGGAATGCCACTTTTTAAATACAGTACACAAAACTGTTTCTGGCTTGGTGATACTAATTTTAAATTAATCCCAGGGTGCTAGAGAGGCCACTGCATGAATGTTGATGTTGTACTGTCAAAGGCAAGTTGGGATGACCCCAGTAAGCGTAAATTGGTGTGACTCATTCAGACCTGCAGCAAAGTTTAAACATCTCTGATATAGAGAATGTCAGAGTAAATTTTCTAATCTGACTGTAGTGTCTGATTTTTTTATTTTTTTTTTAATATGGATGTGTCAAACAAGGAATATCAATGTAAAGAAAAGTTATGTATTTTATAAATACTATATATATAGTATTTTGGAGAAGAGAAAACCCAAGCCATTATCAATATTTTTCTGTCTTCCAAGCCCCATGTGAATATTCACTGATCTTTTACATTGCTTTGACATGTAAGCATTTACTTAATTTTTGAGATGAAGGAAATGGAAAGAGATTGTTAGATAATCCTGCCCAAATTTGGTCAGAGGGTTGATGGCATTTGGGCAGGAGATTAAAGACAGAGGCAAGATCCAAAAAGATCAGGTGTATTATGTGTTTGTGGGTTGTTTTTTTTTCCCTTGGACAATTTTTTGTGCCAATAATTGGGATGAACTTTTGAGTGTGTTTCTGTTGTTTCCAAGATGCTGAAGGAGGTAGTTGCTAAGACTCTTCAAAAACATGGAATTGCAGAGGATCACAAGTGCTTTGCATCATGCAGCCAGCGTCTATTTGAGATATCAAAGTTCTACTTAAAGGTAACTAGAAGTCACGCTCTTACAGTTGTTTGTTCTTAGTTAAGTGAATCCATTCCTGAATAAAACTTGAGATGGACTGTGGGATATTGAGACTTGATTAAGCTAGTAATTCCTAGTGGTGTGTTAGTAGTGTGTGCATAAGCCTTTGGACTTGTTGTCAAATGCAGGACCTAGTTCTACAGTATATTTTGGTGGCTATTTGTTTTTAAACCTTATAAAGCAGTAGTCTTTTATGTGAGGTAACATGTTAAAGCAGTGGTCTGTTAGGTAAGGTCAAGCTTATACCATATTGCTTCCTTGGCTGTTGTAGCTGTCTCCCAGCCATAGCTGTGACAGCTCAGCTTCTCCCTTGTTCTAAGGCTGTTGGCTCAATAGGTTGCTTACACAACTGACTGAGAAATTCTAGTTCCCTGACATGCTCACAGAAGTCCTTGTAAATGCATTGTAAATGTGCACAACTGTCTAACACGTTCTGACTTGGCAGCACCGTGTAGAATGGCATCAACCTCATTTTTAGGAGGAGATGAGAATTATTTCCGCAATACCTAGGAGACTTTGTGAATCAATGCTTGAGCCCATGTTACTTAGTCTAGGCACAAAATAGAGTTAAGTTACAGTACAGGGTGTTTAAAAGCTGTTGCTCACAAGATGAGCTGCTGTTTCTGTTCATTTGCATGCGTTTAGCCTACCACTGTTTGTGATCTAACTCACTTGACTGAACTTCAGTAAAGGTGATTTAAGCTAAATGAAGTTGCCGTTGAAGAGGGCTGAATGCTTACACAGACAATTAGAACATCTTGCTGATGAGCACCAACTTCTTAAATAATTACAACAGAGTTGCGCAGTCATTCCATAAGCACTCCCAAAATCTCCCTGAAATGTGCCCTGAAGGAAGTTCATGTAATCCAAAATCAGAAAGAGCTGCATATAGGGATGAGTGCGTAGGGCAGATCGGATGGGTTCATGGTTCTGTTCTAAGTAGAAGAGCAAAAGGAAGAGTACTGCAGCGATCCTGTCCTTCGGAAAGCTGATCTAGGGGGAGGTGTAGCAGGATTTTGTTCGCCTGAACTGTCTCGCAGCCCCGAGTCTGTAGGAGCCCTCCTGTGCTGTGTGCTTCAGAAGCAGGATGGCAGGGTTAGGTTAAAGGTTGGACTCGATGATCTTGAAGGTCTTTTCCAACCAAAGTGATTCTATGATTCTATGGTTCTATGATATCATAGGTATCATATTCCTCTGGAGACAAGTAGTAAATGAATTTTCTTAGTTTTCCTTTCTCTTTAGGTGAAGTTATGTGCTTGCTTTGTTTAAGAGACTGGATTAGGTTGGGCTAATTGGACTGCAAAACAGACAGGGCATTCTGGGTTTTTCCTTTCTTGCGCTCATTTTCTTTCTCCATGTCCTCTTTGCTGTTCTTTGCCAGAACTTTGTATTGCAGTCTAAGTGCACAGTTGATTTTCATGTTTATATGGAAATAAGATTTCAGTCAAGACTGTAAGAACATTGAATATAATTTAAGAAAAAAAAATACATTTCTGGAAGTGTGCGGAAGGTTAGGAAAAGTGTGACTCAGTTGTTTGGTTTGGACTGCTGTAGGGATTTTTTTGAAATAAATTTAGATAATTTCTTTTTTTAAAAAAAAAAAAACCAAATGCCAAAGTCAAATAGTTCTGTGGTTCTGAACAAGGTGATAAAAGGGTAACACCTCCCCTGGTTATTAGGGCTCTTATAGTCCAAATCAGTGAGCATATGAATCTGCTAATTTCTGTGGCTTTGTGTTTTCATATTTAGGATCTTAAAACTTCTAGAGGACTTCTGGACGAAATGAAGAAAACAGCAAACAACAATGCTAAACAGGTAAGACCATCTGTGTCTTTGTTCCTGTAACTAGCCAAGGCTAAATGTAGCTGTGCCAGCTTGGCTGTAGGCTGGTTTAGTCCACAGCTTTAAGGGATGACGAGATGCATTCCTGTGGCTGTGGATCTCGTTTCACTCTCTGATCTCACAAAAACTTCCAATCAGTAGTCCCGTGACAAAATTGCCATTATGCAACTGGTTTTAGGTGGTATTCTGTCTATAATATTTAGATATTCAGATTCTAGATGGTATTCTAGTTACAGCTGCCAATATGATGTGCCACAGTGAGAAATGGAAATGGAGGCAATAAATGTTTCCTTATCACTTGGGGAAAAAAAAAGGAGAGATGAGATTTTTCTTCATATGAGAGAAGCCTGGATCATTAGGGAATTCTTCTTTCCTTGTGTTGAAGGAAATAATGTTTCTTTTCAAAAGTTAGGAAGCAATAAAGGGATCTATAAAAGGAAATAAATTTCTTAAAAGAAGCAATGAAAATTAGAAATTTTAAGCTTGGGAATAACTGTAAGCACAAGGGATACCAGATGAACTTATTTGTGTGTAAGGTGGGACTTAGGTGGACAGTAGCACAGAGTAAATGACAGGATTAAATACTCCTGTCCTCCAGAAATTAAGTAACTCTGATTTAAATTCTGAAAAACATGCCGAAGTGACTCCATGATTTAAAAAAAAAAAAAAAAGTATCATGTATATTTACAGTACAGTTCTTAAAAAAATAAATTAAATGGAAGGATTTTGACTTGGTAGTTAAATAAGAAAACCCAAACTCTTAAGAAAAACTGCTGGATCCCCACAGACTATATTCTATGAGAGCAGTACTTATTGTGTTCTGTACTGCGTTCCCTTGTGAATTGCTTCCTACAGCTCATAAGGTTTCAAAAACTACAGAGGTTGTGATGTTTGCTGTTGAACTGGGATATTGTGCTCATACGCTGTTTCTCACCACCATCTTTGTCTGAGGAGGCCAGCTGGTAGTTTTAGGTGTGTTTGCTGTTGGCAAAGAGGCATTAAAATTGGGGATCTCTTAAGCTGGCCACCTCTCCCTGCGTTAGAGAATACTTTGAACCTCCCTTACAGAAAGTATAATTGCTCAGGACTTGTCAGTTGCCTGAACAACTGCCCTGCCCGGGAAACTGCAGTAAAAATGGTGGCAGCTACAGCACTGTACAAATTATTCTTTATCCTTTCTTTTACAGCTCTAGGAATTTTTTGTGCTGGAAACACGAGCTGGTTAGTGTTGTGTGTGCACCTTATTGCTAGTCCATGGAGAGAGCGGGGTGAAGTAGCTCAGTTCAGGGGATCTAAAAATGTCTTTTTCTGAAGACAAGGAATTCTGTAAAATTAAATACAGTTCGTGGGTAACGCTGTATCCTCTCAGTTTATTAACAACTCTTTCTCCTTTTGAATGTATTACTTTTAAATCCTCTTTAGTAAACGCCACACGGGTGCTGATAAAGAAAGACTTGATAAAGTGCATGAGATGTTCTCAAGTTGCTTTCCAGAACTGCAAACCATGTGTTTTCTCATTTACTTTCCCAGGTGATTGAATGGGTTTTGGAGAAGACTGGCAAGTAGAGGTACTGCATGGGTGCTATTCACACCTTCCTAGAAACTGCGGAGGGCGAGCACTTCTGATCCGAAGAAAAGCATTATACGGCCTGCCATCTACACACTGGAAGGACTTTGGTCAGGGCAATTATATAGACTCAGTTCTCAAGCACAGTAGCGTGTTTTGAAAGTTTTTTATACTGAAAGTTTTAATTTTTTAAAAAATGCAAATGAAAAAAGGTTTTATTTTATATGCATATTTATTATGTTTCATTGTTAAAAGGAATATAGCTTGACTTGCTTTGATAAAGCTCTGTATGTTTTTCAATCCATATATTTGGTTCTTATGTGAATAAAAAACCCACCAGTTTTAATTACAAAACTACTTTGGTTTACCTTTCTGCGTGAAGACCTCTGTTCTACTTATTACCACTTACTGTTGTATAAACAGATGTTTACAGCGTTGAACGCTGACATTTTATAGAATAATTAAGAACAGTTCCTATTCTGCAGGTGAAAGCAAACAGAGTTCGAGTCACAATTAACTCTGTGTTATAGTATAACGGGAAAAAAAAAAGGCACATCTTTTGAAATTATGCAAGGGCCCATTAAAGAAAGGATCATTGTTTCACAAGCTGAATTTCCGGTATAATTTCATGTGTGCTTTTTGTAGCACTCCTTAGAAACAATTCATAACAGAGTTCTGACATTTCTTTTCATGGGGGAGGAGAAAACCAAAATGATAGCACTGTTGAGGCCTGTGAGAGCTGTGAAAGAGCTGGTGTGCTATGGTGAAACCCAATGGAAAGAAGAATTTCTACCTGAGTTGCAAGCACAGTAAAATACTAAATTCAGCCTCAGTTTGCTTAAGTCTCAGTGCCTGGCTTGTGTGAGTGTAATTATTCAAGTTAGTATTATGTTGAGATGAGGAGTTCCCACCAAAACAAATATGTTCTACAGCTTTCAGTGCAAGGATTTCCCAGTCATCCTATCAACTAACATGATTAAAATTGATAGAGATGCAGTGTTATTGTTTGCTATATTCTCCTGGAAGGAAAATGGATTAAGCAACACTAATATGAACAAAATTTAATATTGTGGAGAAGCAATTGAACTAATCCATGTGTCAGTTAGACTCAATACTGTACAATCTACTCAATTCTCTGAAGAGCCTTCCTGATTTTGTGACATTATCCTTTGCTTAATTCTATTTTGTGTAAAGCCGAGCCCTAAGGAGGTTTTTCATGTCTAACAGGATCTTGCATTTAACTCTCCTGTTCCTTTGTTCCAGTGCGTGTTGTTCTCCTGAAGTCTCCAAGACCTTTTACACGTGGGTGCGTGCTTGCTTAACTGCGCTCTGCGCGGCAACAGGAAAGCTGTGCAGCTGCTTCACGGGGACAACGGGCTCTAGTGAGTACCCTGTGGGGCTCGGCCCAGGGCAAACACACCTACTTAGGAGCAGATTACATCTGTCTGCAAAATGCCACACAGCCATAGCACCCAGGTTTTACCGATTTGATGAAATAGAAATGCGATGAAGGGAGATATTTAAATAATTATTTAATAAGTGCACGCACAAAATTGCTCCCACTTATTAATTACTGTGTATGGTTCACATTGCTTTGCATTCAAGACACAAAACAAGAAATTAATCAAGACATTAATCTTCCTTAACAAGAAAGTATCTACTTCCAAATAGAGAGAGAAAAGCTGTAAATTATAATCTCTTATCTGATACTTTTGTCCAAATGCTAAAGCGAGCCACTGAAAGTTGTATTTCCTACTTAATTTCAGGGGGGAGTTATATACTCGTAATTACAGAAACTTTGTGGTTAATAAACAATGCGTAAGTTGATAAGCAAAAGTGCAGAAACTCTACATGTCATAAAATACTTGAGGCTAGCTGCCATGAGTGAAACCAAATCCCTTTCAGGAAAGAAATTAATGCTCCTTCACTGGCTTGCTTGATAAAAAACTATCTGCATGTATCTGTGGAAAGGCTTCTATAAACCAGTGCTTTTTGAAATTATTTTTTATTCTTTTCTCAGTCCTCCCTTACCTCTCTGTGGTGTCCATAGTGAGCCCTGGATTTAGACGCTACTTCAAGTAGAACCCCATGGTTATTGTTTTAATTAATTCTGTAGCCTCAAAGGCCGGCCTGAAATA